GAGACTCGGCCTCTCGCCGCGGTGGCAGCCCTGCCCGCAGCCCCGCCGCCCTTCTGCCCACCGCCACCGCCCCCCGAACTCAGCCACGCGCTGGAGGGGGGTGCAGTCGGGGCGCTGAAGAAGGAACCCTTTTCGCTGGGGAGGGGCTCGGTGTTCCTTGATTGTTTCAAAGTTTGCTTCGGGATTTCCTCAGGTTTTCCATGGGGAATCGAGGTTGAACTTATGGGGAAAAAGGGGCCTCGCTCCTTATTTATGGTTCCTTAGGGCAACGCCCCGACTGTATTGGGGAGGGGGGGATCATCGAGAATAAAAGACGCCCTAACCCTAATCACACAGTGAAGACGTGGCCTCGCTGAGGTCCCCGTCTTTGCACTAAGGGTCAAACACATATTTTGGCGTTTCGGTTCGATACATCTGCAGAACAGAGCCCCTGCCCATCATGTTGTTTTACCCTCCTCACTCAGGTCCCCTCCCAAAGGGTTAGGTGTCCTTTTTTGGTTAATCAGAGGAGGCTTCCGAGAAACACCCCTGCTTCTCAGACGGCGCGCGCCCGATCCACAGATGTAGGGCGGGCGCCTTCTGCGAAGCGGCCTCTCGGGCGTCTCGCAACGGAGGTGGGGCGGGCGATACATAGGGGGGGCCAGCAGGGGCTGCAGGAAAGAGAGGCCCCTTGGGGCCGTTTCCGGGCGCAGGAAGGGGCCCGCCGGGCCCTAGAAGTGCACCTCTCGTCCTCCTCCGCCCCCATGTGTCGCCCCCCACCCCCTTCAGCGACGCCCGAGCCTCCTTCCAAGGAGCCTTCCCCCCTCCCTTGGAGGGCCCTGTCGACCAGCCTCGGGAACATCCATATCTCGGGCCGACGCCGAGTACCGTTCTCACGTTATAGCCAAACGCGTCTATGGACACATTGGGTGCCGCGACGTCCAGAGACACTTCCGGGGTGGATGCGTCTGTGGACAAAGTGTCCGTTGCGTTCGGCGCGGTGCAAGTTCGGAGGAACTGGCAGATCCGTCGATGGCATGTTCCTGTTCTAGATCAGTTTCCACATGGTACTCCAGTGGAGGAGGAGGAGGAGGAGGAGGAGGAGGAGGCGGAGGAGGAGGAGGCGGAGGACGAGGAAGAGGAGGCGGAGGCGGAGGAGGAGGAGGAGGAGGAGGAGGAGGAGGAGGAGGAGGAGGAGGAGGAGGCTGTCCCACCTGGTGCTCCCAATCCGCCTCCCCCGATCCCCCCCCCCCGCGGACGCCCAGGAGCAGGCCTGGTGTGCCGGGCCCGCCTCCCCCGGCCGAGGGCCGCCGGCAGCGGGCGCGGCCCAGGCCCTCGGCGCCTGCCTGCGTGCCTCCTCCAGGAGGGAAAACACACACAGAGACACACAGACACACACACACAGACACACACAGACACACACAGACACACACGCATACACACATACACACATACACACATACACACATACACACACACCCACACACACCCACGCACGCACGCACGCACGCACGCACGCACGCACGCACGCACAGACAGACAGACAGACAGACAGACAGACAGACAGACAGACAGACAGACAGACAGACAGACAGACAGACAGACAGACAGACAGACACAATGAATCGTCGACTCCCCAGGAGAATGGGGGAAACTATGGGAAGTGGGGGGGAAGACAAAAGCCCAGAACATATGGGGAAATACGGGGGATCCTTCTAATTTGTGTGTATTTACTTGTGTGTCCTGGGGCCCCTTCACTCCTCCCTCCAGCGGCGAGCGACGGGGGAGAAGTCGAGGGTGGGAACGTCGAGGTTCGAACTTCGAGGTTTGAGGTTCGAGGCGGTTTCTCCTCGTTTGCGGCCTCCGGGGGCCGTCTTCGGGCCCCAGGACCCCGCGAGACTCGATCCGGGGCGAAAAACCGCGTCGGGGGGACCGCGGGAGGGGTCCGGGACCGATTTCGACTGATGTTCGGCCGCGCGCCCAGGGGGGAGGTGAGAAGGAGAAGCCCTTCTCAGAAGGCGGCAGGGCTTCTCAGAAGTCTTTGTGTTCGATGTCTGTTCATGGGAGCCTTGGGCGGCGACACTGCAATCAGCTTCTCCTGCATTTGGGCCCCCCTCCCCCTCCTCGTTCTCCTATCCCCCGCGAGTCCAATCCAAATCTGGTCCAAATGCGGTCCAAATTTGCTCCAAATCTGGTCCAAATCAAGCCCAAATTGGACAGCGCTGAGGGCCACGCAGGCTCCCATGGAACGGACACCAACCTTGTGCTCCTGAGAATTCTGCTGCGTCTCTGGGGGAGGCTCCGAACTCTTCTCAGAAGGCCGGGGGCCTGGCGACCATTCTGAGAAGGCCCGCCCCCTCTCGCTTCCCTCCCCCAGAGGAGGAGGAGGAGGAGGAGGAGGAGGAGGAGGAGGAGGAGGAGGAGGAGGAGGAGGAGGAGGAGGAGGAGGAGGAGGAGGAGGAGGAGGAGGAGGAGGAGGAGGAGGTCGCCGCCGATCTGTGCACCAGGGGCACCGCTAGGGTGGGGCCCAGACCCCCTCGCGTTGCGAAACAAACATCGCCACTTTCGGCCTCGGGGGCCACTTTCGGCCTCCGGGGGCCCTCGCCGGGCCTCGGGGCCGTCAACAGACGGCTCGGGATGAGAAGCCAGTCCCGGGGAAGGGGTCGAGGCCTCTGGAGGTCGACGTGGTGAAAAGATCACGCCGTCGGGGGTTGGGGGGATGGGCCCGGGGGGGGGACGACGCAGGCTCGAGGCTCGAGCTCTTCGAGCGTCTTCGTAGCTTCTCGGCGGGCTCCCAGCCTCGGGCTGCCCTCCAGCAGCGGCGCCTCGCCGGGGGAGCTCCACGGGGGTGCCCCCGATCTTCCCGAGCGGCCGCCAGGGGCCTGGCGTACAGTCGGGGCGCTGAAGAAGGAACCCTCCTCGTTGGCGAGGGGCTCGGTGTCCCTTGATTGTTTTACAGTTTGCGCTGGGTTTTCCATGGGAGATCGAAATTTAACTTGTGGGAAAAAAGGGGCCTCGTTCCTTATTTAGGGTTCCTTAGGTCAACGCCCCGACTGTGTAGCCCGAGAGCCACCCGGCGGGCAGCCCTTCGGGGCGGAGGGGCTCCGTCAGGGGGGAGCGCACGGGCCTTCCGCCGCCCACTCGTCGCCGATACGGTGGAGGCCCCATACAGTCGGGGCGCTGAAGAAGGAACCCTTCTCGTTGGGGAGGGGCTCCGTGTTCCTTAAGTTCGGGGGAGCGTAAGACCCGGGTTTGCCGGGACTCGGGTTCGCCATCGTTTTTTGACGACTGCGCCTCGGATTTTGACGAGGAGGAGTTTCGTGGGATGTCTGCAGCGGGAGGCCTCGTCAAAATGCAGGCTCGGCCTCGTCATTTTTTTGACGACCTCGTCGGGAATTTCCGAGTCCCCCGTACCCGGGTCTTACGTCTCCCCGATAAGTGTTTCACAGCTTGCATTGGATTTCCCTTAGGTTTTCGCTACGAAATCGACGTTCCACTTCTGGAAAAGAGGGGCCTTCCTTCCCTAATCAGGGTTCCTCAGGTCGACGCCTCGACTGTACGCCACGAAACGCCCTGCTTGCCTTCAGGGTGCCCTGGGTTTCTTGGGCTTCGATGATTTTGCTATGGGGAGCGTGGCATTCCCGCACCACACGTGAAGGGCCGTGCTGGGGTCTCGGGGTTGGGTGTCTTGTGGCAGGCTTCGTGTGGTCGGGCCCCCGCTGTAGAGCGGGCCCTGCGAGCCCGGGCGACCTGTTGAGGGAACGTTGTCCAGGGAGGGGAGTCAACTGGCGCTTCTGGTCTTCGGCGGGCCACTGATGGAACATGGCTCGGTGAAGGTAAAGCGAGGCAAACAATAATAATACGAAGAAGAGGAATACTACGAATCAGAAGAATAATTCGAATGATGATAATAATACTAGTGATACTACTACTACTACTACTACTACTACTACTACTACTACTACTACTACTACTACTACTACTACTACTACTACTACTACTACTACTACTACTACTACTACTACTACTACTACTAATGATAATAATAATAATGATAATAATAATACTAATAATACCAATCATAATAATAATAGTAATGCTACTAATAATAATAATAATATTAATGATAATAATCATACTAATAATAATAATAATGCTAAGACGAGTAATAAGAAGAAGAGGCAACTCAGAATGAGCAGAATAAAAATAATAACAAGCAGCTGCATACACATACACGTTCGACGCTCCGCACACATTTCTTGGATAGGCGATGGAACCCTCCGGCGGCGCCTCTGGCGTCGCCCCTGGCGCGCTCCGCGCGCTAGGGAAGGGGGTTCAGCGCAGATCCAATACATCCGCGCGGACCGTCAACAATGTATTTTAATGCAGTTGTTTGCTCCTCTAGGGACGCTCCTGAGCCCACTGTGTCGCGCGCGTTGCACCGTAGCGATGTTGTCTCAAGCCAGTTGTGCTCAAGATCAGGATTTCGCACTCGGCTGCAACACGCGCGGGGCCCAGATCATGGCCATGCCGAGTGGCATCTTCGCCATAGCTCCCACGAAGCAGGGTCTCGGGGACGTGGCGACAAGGGACACTTTCATCGAGTTGTGCGACGACAAGCGCCGGGGCTGTCGCAGTCTATCCTGGTCTAGCAGCGAGCCCTGCAGCGAGTCTTCTTCCAGCCACAGCGCGTTTTTCGACGCCGACTGCGTCAGCACTGCTTGGGTATCAACGCACGTGGGAGGGGCCTGGGTATCGATCGGCCAGGGGGAGAGCACGAGTTACAGCCTCGACAAGGGGCGCTTGTCCGCCGCCGCGGAGGCAATCGACGATGTCCCGAGCAGCTGGGCCGAGTGGTGCAGAACAAGGCTAAGAGCCTTGCAGAGAGCGTGAAGGCCGAGCTGGCCTTGTTGCAACATGCCATTCGCAGCAGGGGTGGCGGCGAGGATGGCGTTGATGCGGTCATCGATCACCTCGGCAAAATCCCAGGGATCATCAGGAGGTCGCTTGACTCGAAGATCATGGAGGCGAACGGCGCGATGCGGCTGGCGATGCGGTTGAAGCGGAGCGCCATCGTGCAGATGCTCAAGAGCACTATCCCTGATGGCCAAGAACTGGTGAGGCGGTTGTGGACCATTCCCGGGAACCTGGAGCAGGTCGTTGGGCAGACGGTTGGCCAGGCCGTGGAAGAGTCTCAGCTGGAGGCTACCAGGCATTGCGAGCGCGTGTTGATGAGCCTGCCGCCGGACGCGGGTGTGTGTCGCCATGCTTTGATAGACGCCGAACTACGTATCGCGGAGGTGACCGACATGTACTCCGAGACGATGCGGGCCCTGAGGCGCACGGCCAATGCGAACGTGAGGCTCGCCGTGACCTACGTGCAAGGCCCATAAAGACCCCCGCCGTATCCCAGTCCGTGGATATGCCCCGCGGCCCCTTCGGCTCAGAAGAGCCGCAGCTGTAGAATCGCTGGCCGCGCCCGCGCAGCTAGGTCGGTCGAGCGAGCCGCTGGACAAGACAATTCATGATGTGTTGACTCCAGCGCTTCCGCTTGACTGTTCAATTTACGAGGCACGTGCGTTCACTTGTTGGCGCGCTGGCCTTTCAGAGACCTCATCGTCAATGTGGGAGGGGAATTGGGGCATGCGGTCCGCTGCTGCGCTCGAAGATCTAAAGTTGTGGAGCGCGAGGTCTCTGCCATGCCATGGCAGAGGTCTCCGATCGATTCTTTTGCAGTGGAGGGTTCCGCTGCCTATCTCTGCGCTCCGAGTCTAACAGACACAGACGTTAGTTTGCCTCTTCGGTCTGTACGGCATGATGGGTCTGGCTTCTGTAGGCCAGGCCCAGGGGAGTCGCCAAGCCTTCCCACATCAGGATAAGTTGACGTGTCGACACGTGTTTTTTCGCTCCAGGGGATGGCAGGTACCCCAGACGCACGCGTTCAGATGGAACACGCAGCGCCCGCTGCCAGTGATCCAGTTGTTACTTTTGTGGCCGTTGCGTAACTTCGACGCGGCGCCCTAGTTGCTTCAGGTATTGCGTCTTCGCTCCTCGTCGTATCGCGGTCCAGTGCCGCTAGTGGTTTTACGCCTCTGGTGGTTGTGGCCTTTTATGAAGTGCGTCGGGGCAGGTGGATGTGGAACAGCGCGGCAGTTACAGCGCGTGAGTACTCCAAACAGTGGGTTCTCATTAGTTCTGGGCGCTCGTGGGGGGGGGGGGGGGGGGGCGGGTGTGAGCTTCTTGGTGCAATACACGATTTAGTGGGCAATATGTCCCCACAGTGCTCTGTACGGCGCTGTTCCTGCCCAGCGAACGCCACACATTAGCACCTTGGCAGGCTTGCAGGTGAGCTCCGCCTGCGCACAGCTCGGCATGCTTGAGAAGCTGGTGGCTCTTTCTCATCCCTCCTGTTCCTTCCTCCCTCCTTCTGCCTCCTCCCCTTCTTTCCCCTGCCTTCAAATTCGAGTGCTCAAAAGCATGGGTCTATCCGCGCGTCAATCGGTGTGCCCCTCGCGCCAATGCGTGCCAGGCCGACAGGCTGAGTGGTGGGTGACGTCCGCCTGCAAACAGCACAACATGCTTTATTCATATTCAGGACGTGTTTCTCCTCACCCCGCCACACACCTGACAGTGGATGTTCTTGGGCACGGTGTGCTTTCGACATGGCGTGCGAAGCAGCTGGCGGCAAAGACGCCCTATGCCAGATATGGCAGCAAGGCGAGCTTGCATGGCGCATCCGCGCACAACGCTTCAGCAATCTTTATCAGTTATTTTCAGGGCTTGTTTCTACTCCCCTCAACACTCCTCACAGGTGGATGTTCTTGGACACGCTGTGCTTTCGGCATTGCGTTCGAAGCAGCTGGCGGCAAAGACGCCCTACGCCAGATGTTGCAGCACGGCGGGCTGGCATGGCGCATCCGCGCAACATGCTTCAGCTGGCAGTAATTCACGATTACAGCTCCTCCTTCTCCTCCACCCCTCCTCTTCCTCCTCGTGGTGTCATTGTAACGTACAGTGCCTGCTGCATGGGGCGCTTACCAGGAAGCCAGCCTCGCCCTGTCTTACCAATTATTTCCAACGCACCTTGGACGTGGATGACGCGCTTGCAAGCTTGCTCCCCGCTCCTTGTGTTCGTGTTCTCCTCGCTGGTATGTCTGAGAGTCTCTGGCACGCCGCTCGCGCACGGGCGTGTCAGATTGCCAGGCCGACGTGGCAGTTGAATTCCGCAGGAGCTCGTATCTAGTCTGCAGTGTTGGTGGCTCTGTCTTGCATCAACTTCCCACTTTCCCACAGCGACCGCATCGCCTGTAAAAAAAAGATGTGTCGCGCGCGTTGCGAATTATTGCGAGACGGTAGTGCGCAAGAGTGTTAACCATCATCCGCTTAGCCTGGCCTCAAAGGGGTCCAGCGGTTATCGTTGGCCATTGGGGCGTCGAGAGGTATGCGCATGCCACGCTTCGCTTTCTCCCCCAGGCGACGGGCTCCACTGTTCGGTAGCAAATTATGGGAGCCTGGTGTACCCTCTTAATTCCGTCTTTCGCGTTGACTAGCGTCGATTACCTGGGAGGCGAAGAGATCGCGCCGATTTAGCATCTGCTAGCGTCGATTTGCGTCGATTTAGCGTCGACTAGCGTCGATTCGCGTCGATCCGCAAGAGCCGGCAAGATGGCATGGAAGGCTCCAGTGAGTTGCCTCCGAAGCTTGGTTGTCGAGAGGTATGCGCATGCCACGCGTCGCTTCCTTCCCTCGCGACGGGCTTCACTGCATGAGTCCGCCTGTGGCGGGTCGGCTCGTGTAGCGTCCTGGTTCGCCTGGTGGCCTTCTGCTGGACACTGTGATACTTGCCAGCCGCGGTGTGTTAAACTTAGTTGTTTCATTTGGCCCATGATGATTGCATCCTTTTTTCGTAACCTGGAACGTTACATTACCAGTGGCGGGCTGTTTCTCAATCCCAGGACTTTTTGAGGGCCGGTGGCTACGTCGGGATGGTGTGGTGGATACTTTTTTTAATGTGTTTCCCAGGGAAGCGGCGAAACATGTACACACCAAGATCCCGTATGCACCAGGATCCGTTATCCTGTGCAAGTCTCAGTGCACGGCCAGAAAACGCGTCGGTGTACAGAGTTCGGTTCCTCATGCCACTTACATCCTTGCTTCAACCGAGAGACCATTCGATCGGAGTTGAACGGCTCAACGGACGTAAACGATTCTCGTCCGCGTTCGCAGGACACATAAACTGGGGATGCCCAAGTATCAAGATCGGGGATCGCCTGACGCAACAGAAGAGGAGGGGCCAATTTTAGGGGCAGGGGTGAGGAAGGCTTGCAGGTAACCAGAAGCGTGAGATGAACACAGTGGATTCCTTCCATGGGGAGCCAGAAATATGGGTGTGTATGTCCAAGGTCGAAATTGAATTTCGTACCAGCCCCAGGAGATTAACATCGCCGTCACGGCTGGCCTTGGCTCGAATTCAATTCTGGTAAGGATCATGGCCACAAACGGTCCGTTGGTCTATCTTGGGAGGCGCCAGTCGGGATTGCTCCTGCGCTGCCTCGGAAGACGCGCACGATCATGGCAAATAGCGCGCTGCAGGCACCTGGCATCCCCACGCTCGCGGAGCTGGACCGATGGCGGCTGGGGACTGAATGGCGCGCGCAGATGCCACGGGCGGAGGAGCAGACGGAGGAGGCAGATGCCAATGGGGAGGCATATTGCAAGACGGCGTCACTGCAAGCAGGCGGCATGCGTGCGTGCATCTGAGGAGGGGGGTGTAGGCGAAACGCCCCGCCCGACCTACTGGCACGTCCGATATTCAAGCGATACGTATCTACTGATAAGAGAACTAAGCCGAACATGCTTATGATGATGAAGAGGAGGAGGAGAAGGAGGAGAAGGATGTGGAGGAGGAGGAGGAGGAGGAGGAGGAGGAGGAAGAGGCGGAGGATGAGGAGACGGGTAAGAGGAGGAGGAGGCGGAGGAGGAGGAGGACGAGGAGGACGAGGAGGAGGAGGAGGAGGAAGAGGAGGAGGAGGAAGGGGAGGCACGGAGGCAAGCAGGCAAGGAGGCAAGGAGGCAAGGCGGCAAGGAGGCAAGGAGGCAAGGAGGAGGAGGAGGAGGCACTGAGGCAAGCAGGCAAGGAGGCATGGAGGCATGGATGCAAGGCGACAAGGAGGCAAGGAGGCAAGGAGGCAAGGAGGAGGAGGAGGAGGAGAAGGAGGCAAGGAGAAGGAGGAGTAAGAGGCGGAGGAGGAGGAGGAGGAATATGAGGAGGATGAGGAGGAGGAAGAAGAGGAGGAGAGGAGGAGGAGGAGGAGGAGAAGGAGGAGTAAGAGGAAGAGGAAGAGGAGGAGGAAGAGGAGGAGGAGGGAGGAGGAGGAGGCCGCGCACCAAAGGTCACTTTAGCCTGGGTCACTCCTACGTGTAGTTCAACAGGGATCAATCATTAATCGGAAAAGGAATGGAGGAGGAGGAGGAGGAAGAGGAGGAGGAGGCGGAAGAGGAGGAGGAGGAGGAGGCGGAGGAGGAGGAGGAGGAGGGAGGGAGGGAGGGAGGGAGGGAGGAGAGGAGGAGGAGGAGGAGGAGGAGGACGAAAGAGCTCGCCGATGCGCCGAGGGCACTCGGAGAGCCATGTCGGGCGGCGGCATCGCACCCGCCATACGTTCTGTTTGACAAGTTGGAGGGCCAAGCCTACCTTTCTCCTCCCTCCTCCTCCTCCTCCTCCTCCTCCTCCTAGCCTGCCTCCTCCTCCTAGCCTACCTCCTCCTCCCTCCTCCTCCTCCTCCACCTCCTCCTCGTCATCCTCCTTCTCCTTCCCCTCCTCTCCCTCCTCTTCATCCTCCTCCTTCTCCTCCTCCTGCTCTAGAAGACCATCAGCTGGGGCCGATGCCAAATGCCTTTCTCACGTTCCAGCCCAGAGCGTCTACGAACACATGGGGTGCCGTGGCGTCCACAGACATTTTCCGGTTTGATGTGTCTATGGACAACGTGCCCGTTGCGTTCGGCGCGGTGCAAGGTCGGAGAAAGGGTAGATCCGTCTACGGTATGTTCCTACTCTAGAGCAGGCCTCGCATAGTACTCCACCGGACAAGTACCCATCATCTCCGTTCCAGGAGGAAGCTTGCTCTTCACATAGAAAGGGCCCCCCCGCGTCTACAGGACAGCATCTGGAGCGTCCCCGGGTTGTCGGGCCGGAGCTGGGGGCCCTGCGGGGCGCATGGATAGCGTATATTGCGAGGCATGTTTCGTGATACGTCTCACCCAGAAAGTTTGTTTTGAAATGGTAGGCGCGTCTCTCTCAAGAGGTTCACGAGCGTCAGCCACCCCAAGGTGGAGCCGATCAAGTTTCACGGGCCTGTTCGCTCCCAGATTGTGGGGATGTATGCAGCGGCTCGCTTGTTTTAGCAGCTGGACGTGTGTCCTAGCAGAGCCTCATGCTCCTCGCGATGTAGTAGGCATGTCACTGTGGCACACCAAGGGGCAGTTCAGCAATGGTGTTTCACGGACCCGTGTCTCGAGTGGCTTCTTGTTTCAGGGGAAGCACCTGTGTCTCCTCAGAGCCCCATGATCTTCGCCATGCGCCAGGCACAGCATTTGGACACCCCAAGGGGGAGCTGATCAGGGGTATTTCACGGACCCGTTCGAGCGCGTATTGGGGGTCTTGGTTTTTGGGACGTAGCGGGCGTAGCACTTGGGAGCTCTCACCCTGAGGGGAGCCGACCACGGGTATTTCACGGGTCCGTTCGCGCACAGGTTGCGGGGGTGTCTCGAGCGATTCGCTTGTTTGAGGATGTGGACGCGTTTGTCTTCAGAGACCCATGATCCTCGCAATGTAGCCTCCGCAGCACTTGGGCACCCCAGGGGGGAGCCGACCAAGGGTGTTTCACGGACCCGTTCGCTCCCAGATTGTGAGGGGGTGTCCAACGGTATGCTTGTTTCAGCAAGCGTGGACGTGTTTTCTAGCAGAGTTTCATGCTCCTCGAGATGCGGGTTACCCGATCGAGAGCGTAGTTACTGCAGACGGCTTGTCATCGTTCGGTGGAGTAGGAAGAGGAGGAGGAGCCGAAGGAGGAGGAGGATCAGTGTAAACCCATCCAAGACGCATCACCGATGTTGGAATCCACCCTCCGTTAAGGGTCCCTCTTCGTAGCCCCCTACAAGACTTTCTGTTCATTGCGGGGAGCGCCCCGTTGGAAGACAACCGCTTGCAGCAAACTGTTATGACGAAGGTGTATGACGCTAAAGCGGGAGCCACATGTCGAAAGCCACCCGCATTCCATCCGTGAAACGTTTGCACTGTTTTAAAACGAATGTCCGCGGCAGAGCCACATCTAGAAGACGACAAGCACTCCATCTGTGGAGTTGTTGTTGGTTTCAAGCTTTAGGATCGTAGATGGTGAGGACCTCTCAGGCGAAACGCCCGCCCCGCCCTACGGACACGTCGGGGGGGTGCGACAAGCAGGAGTTATCCATAAGGAAAATGGGTGGAGGAGGCGGGAGGAGGAGGAGGAAGAGGAGGGAGGAGGAGGAGAAATACCAGTTGCTACCCACGCTTCATCGACACCAATGCACAAAACCCTGCCTCGAAACTCCCTGAGGGAAGCGCCCCGTTGGAAGTCCACCCTTTGAAACTTTGGAAATGTGCCAGGACATGGTACCTCAACGCCGAGAGTCACCGTTACTGTTGCGTCTTGACGGTCCTGAATCGTGCCCAAACTCCGTCCCTGGGACATCAAAACCGCGGATCAACCGAACTGTTGCGCCCTGGCATTCCGACATCGTGCCAGCACACCTCGTGGGACGCTAACCATGATAATCCTTGAAGCTGTCGTGAACTCAAAAAACGACTAGTGCGCGGCGCTAAGGCGAGAGCCACATTTTGAAAAGGACCCGCCCTCCATCCGCGAATCTTTTGCACGTTTTAAAACCCAATGTGCGCGGTGTTAAGGTGAGAACCACATTTTGAAAACGGCCCGCCGTCCATCCGCGAACGTCTTGCATGATTTGAAGACGAGTGTACGTGGAGCCAAGGCGAGAGCCACATTTTGAAAATATTCGCCCTCCCTCCGTGAATCTTGTGCACGTTTTTGAACTCAATGTGCGCGGTGCTGATATGAGAACCACATTTTGACAGCGGCCCGCCGTCCATCCGCGAACGTCTTACATTCTCGAGACGAGAGTGCGCGGCGCCAAGGCGAGAAACACATTTTGAACATCACCCGCCCTCCATCCGTGAAGCTCTTGCAAGTTTTGAAGGCGAGTGCGCGCGGCGCTAAAGCAGGAGTCACATTTGAAGACGACCTGCCCTCCATCAGTGAAACTGTTGCAAATTCGGAACATCAGGATCGTAAGCGGTGAGAAAGTCTCAGGCGAAACGTCCGGCCAACCCTAACGACACGTCTGGGGGGACGACAGCGAGGAGTTATCTGCAAAGACAGGAGTGGGAGAGGAGGAGGAGGAGGAGGAGGAGGAGGAGGAGGAGGAGGAGGAGGTGGAGGAGGAGGAGAGGCGGTGACTGCCAGATGCCAGCGTGGAGCTCCCAGGGCTGCTTTTGGGGGGGGGGGGGGGGAGGGCAGCCCAGGAACCTGGGTCGCCCAGGATCGCTCCAGGCGGCCGCACAGCAGGGGCGGCAACCCCAACCCGGCGGAGCCAGGGAGCTGCCAGGAAGGGGACTGCCCCCAGCAGGGCTTGGCGAACCCCATGGCCCACGGGCTCCCAGAGTGGAGGGGGTGCCTGAGGCGAGGCAGGCCAAACCACCCCTCCGAGCAGCATCTCGGAGCGCAGAGCTGCGAGGATGTCTTTGGCGAAACTGGCTGAACCTCCTCGCGACCGGCATCTCGCAGCCCAGGTGTGCGAGGATATCGCAGGCGGGGCAAGCCAGACCACCGTGCGCACGGCATCTCGTAGCCAAGAGTTGCGAGGATGTCTCGGGCGAACCGGGCCGCACTACCTCGCGCGCTGTATTTCGGTGAAGCCGGCCAGACCACCTCGCGCGCAGCACGTAGGAGCCCAGAGCAGTGAGGGCGTCTCGGGTAACAGGGGCCGGACCTCTTCGGGTCAGAACATCTCGGAACCCAGAGTTGTATTCTCCGGCGAAGCGATCCAGGCCACCTCGCGTGCAGAATCTCTGAGCCCAGACTTGCGAGGATGGATCGGGCGAGATGAGCCGGGTTCCTCAGGTCTCCCGGCAGGCCGGAGCCCAGAGTTGCGAGCCTGTCCCGCTCGGAGCGAGCCGGACCAGCTCGCGAGCAGCATCTCCGAGCCCAGAGGTGCGAGGATCCATCGGGCTAGCACGGGTGGACCGCCTCGATTACAGCATGGCGCAGCCCGGAGTTGCGAGGATGTCGCGGACGGAGCGGGCAGGACCACCTCTTCACGCGGCATCTCTGAGCACCACCTTGCGCAAGGATGTGGAAGGCTGGAGATGCGAGGGTGTCTCAGGCGAAAATGGCAGAGTTTCATCTCGCGCAGCACTTCGGAGCACAGAGCTGCGAGGTTCTTCTGGGCGAAAGTGACTGGCACACCTAACGCGTAGCGTCTCGGAGCCCCGAGTTGCGAGGACGTCTCAGAAGAAACCTGCAGGAGGACCACATCGCCTCGCAGCATCTCTGAGCACCACCTCGCGCGCGGCATCTCGAAAACCAAGAGTTGCGAGGATGTCTCAGGCGAAACGGGCAGGACCGCTTCTCGCTCAGCATTTCGAAGCGCACAGTTGCGCGAATGTCTCGGGGGGGAAGGCTCAGGCTGTCTTGGGTATTGAATATATGTTCCAAGAGTTGCGAGGATGCTCATTTCCGTAGCCATTTCGGCTCGAGCACCAGACTGTCACACGGATATTGTCAGAGCTTGTGGGCATGGAGCCAGCCCATTTGACATCCCTCATCCGTACAAAGAAGCCCACAGCCCAGCGACCAGACTCCCACACTGGAGACTTGCTCTTCATTGGTACTATGACTTGGTGTGTTGGAGGCATCATCACGGTGGCCGCAATCCTTGCTCGCTTTCTTACTGACAAGGTAAATGCTGTTGGTCAGCCATATGCTTCTGGATGGGGCTTCATGCCTCTCACAATAAGTGAAGGGGTTTGTACCAATGCATCGGCAGAAGAGCAGCTTTTCTTTGCAACAAGTCTGATGGGATCAATCCTTACCTTCATGAGCTGGCACACTTACAAGATGACTAATGTGTACACAGGTGATGAGCGTTGTGCTGTCTTGCGAATGCGTTGGACCACGATTCGTCAATATCTTGCACCGCTCGGTATGATTGTCGCAGGCTGCGTGTCATACAAGTCAGGCATCGGGCTCACACCCTCAGATGCTATTGCTAAAGTTATACATGGTATTGGAGCCAATGCAGCATTCTTCGGGCTCTGGTGTTCAGAGCTCAAGATATTGAATGCATTTGGGTGGAGCGGTGGAACACCATCCCTGGTGATAACAGGAACTGAAAGAAAGATGCGCGTTGGCTTTGCCCTGGGATTCATAGTTTGTTTTACCATCTTTAGTTGCAGCTATGCGGCGGCGAGCATGTACCCAGACGTGAGTTGTCGTGACAAGTACGGCACTATTGAGAGGTCGCAGACGTACATTAGCCAGTCCGGAAATAAAGGGAGCAGTAAGGTCTTCGAGCTTTTTGTCGAGGATACCGCGTCTGGAATTGTTCTCTTGCTCAAGACGCTGTGCTTCACTGGAGAGGTGATGCTCCTGCCGTGCATCTGCGGAACTCAGTTCACAGTCTGGTACTTTCATCGCCTGGTTCAACCCGAAGAGCCCGATGACGAAGCGAGCCTGCCTGAATCTTCAGAGGTAGAAGGAAACCGTGCCTGATCAGCAAGCAGACTTGCGCGAGCTGAGCTCAGGCCATAGATCCGCAGACACGCTAACGGCGATGTAGGTAACGGCGATGTAGGTTTCGGTATTATAGGGGGGGATGGTTCGTGGCCGACCCACTTGTAGGGATGCGCTGCTCGTGTCTTCCCGAGAACATGGTTCGGCGCCAATTCGGCGTCGTAAAAAAACAGAT